GCCCCGTCCAGGGCCTTGGCTGTCCGGGGCTGAGGTCTCCCGGCTTCTCTCAGCCGGGCGGTCGACCCGGGCGCCACGCTGTAAGCCGCCATCTTGGCTGCCCTGTGGGCCGAGAATGACGGAGCCATTCACTGGCTCAGCTCACAAGTGATTCTCCCGGCTTCAGAGACACTGACCATGAGTGTGATGCCGTGGTCGGTGCCACTTGGTAGTAATTTCCCGTCCTCCAGTCACAGCTTACGTGACGAGTGTGTGTGTGTGGGGTGAGGGGTGATGGAAGGCACTCGGCACAACCAGAGAAGTGAGTGTTCAAGATCCTGGTTTTCCAAGTCACATTATTTTTTCTTTCTTTTTTCCCCTTAAAATAAACTTTATTGTCGATGGTGTTACAGATGTGACGGAGCCATTCACTGGCTCAGCTCACAAGTGATTCTCCCGGCTTCAGAGACACTGACCATGAGTGTGATGCCGTGGTCGGTGCCACTTGGTAGTAATTTCCCGTCCTCCAGTCACAGCTTACGTGACAATAAACAGTGGCCAGTACGTGTTTTTTTTTTTTGTCTTAAACATTCCCTAACACCCCGTCCATATTTTATTGAAAGAGGGCCCGGCCGGTGCGGCTCAGTGGTTGAGCATCGACCTAGGAACCAGGAGGTCACGGTTGGATTCCCGGTCAGGGCACACGCCCGGGTTGTGGGCTTGATCCCCAGCTGGGGTGTGCAGGAGGCAGCTGATCCATGATTCTCATCACTGTTTCTCTCTCTCCCTCCCTTCCTCTCTGAAATCAATAAAAATACTTTTTAAAAAAGGACATTAAAAAACACAGTAATAATATTTTTCTTGAAAGAGACTCTAATTCCCCACCTTTTCTTTTCGCCTGGGAGCTGCAGGAAAGATCTGGAGAAAGAGTTGAAGGTTGACTCAAATTTGCCTCTCGGCAGTTCTAGCCAAGAGGTCACGAAGGACCTGCTGGACATCATCGGTGAGTACGGGTCGCTCCACCTCCCCTCGGGCAGAGGCCTCCCGCGGGCCGGCGATGGCAGGGGTCAGGAAAGACCACTCCTTCTCATCCGGGTCGGTGCATTGCCTTGCTCCTGGTAGGCTCTGTGCAGAGACCTGCGTGGAGCTGACAGCCTGGGGAGCCATTTCAGAAATGCCACAGTCACAGGGCAGCCCCAAGGCCCCAGAACTTGGTGGTTGAGCTGAGATCTGCAGGAAACAGGATGTAGACAAAGGTGGGGGAGTCCAGCTGTGGTGGAAACTCATGATGAAATCTTAGACCAGCTGGTGTGGCTCCGTTGGTTGAGTGTTGATCCCTGTACCAGGAGGTCACTGGTTCCATTCCCAGTCAGGGCACAAGCCCAGGTTTCGGGCTTGGTCCCCAGTAGGGGGTGAGCAGGAGACAGCCGATCAGTAATGTTTCTGTCTCTCCCTCACTTCCTTTCCCTCTAAAAAAATCAATAAAAACATTGACTTAAAAAATCCCAAAGCTCCGCTCTAATTTCACCACCAAGAGATACAGCGTGCTGTGCGTCTGGCAGACACTTTTCTGCACGTCTGTACGTTCTGTGGGTGAGCTATGTGACCCGTTTCCATGACTCATTGCACAGGACCCACGGCTCCTACTTCAGGGATGCGTAGCCCTGGAGCTGTTGGCTCTTCAGGGAGGGGAGGGAGATGCCAGCGAGTCGGGGGAGACGCTGCCCGCCCACTGCCTTAGGGCGCTGAGTCTCCTCTAGTCGCCCCAGGAGGTGAGCTGAAGGCCTGGCTACCTCTGCTCGCCCTGCAGGTCAGCGGTGTTTACCCCATTCTCCACATGCCTGAGAGCCGGGACACACGTGCACCCCTGTATTCTCCTGCCCACAACTTCCTTGGGGGCTGCGGATAGCTGGGCAGAGTCAGAAATGGGGGCACTGAGCCCCCTTAAGGTTTGGCCCGGGCTCTGGCAGCCGGCCTGCCCCCACGGACGTGCCCGCCTTGTGCAAACCCAGCGGAGCAGCCATGTGCGTTCACTTTGCCTTCGGGGACCTCCCTGGAGCATAACGCTGTGTCCTTGTTTCCAAGACAACACCAGCATCCGGACCATTGAAGAGCTG